ACCGACATTTTAGCCCGATTTAGGGTTAGGGTTTAGCCAGTTTTATATTTTCGGTGAAATTATTGTCGGTGAAATAACATGAACCCCTTTGCTCAAAGTTTTGAAATATTTTGATATAATCTCTATTTTGATATCTTGATAGATGTTTTGAAATATTTCCTAACTTTAAGCAAAGATATCTCGATAACCATCTGATCAAAAGTGATGAAAATTTTTATTTGCATTCTGCGAATCTGTAAAATTCAAACAAAAAAATTTTCATCGATTTTGGTCAGGTGATTGTCTAGATATCTTAAAGTTTTGGATTTTTTTTAAACTTTAATTTTGATAGACGTTTTAAACTTGAGCAAGATATATGAAAACTGCCTGATCAAAATCAGTAAAAAATTTGTTTGAATTCTACAGATTCGTAGAATTCAAACGAAAAAAATTTTATTGATTTTAATTAGATGGTTGTCGAGATACTATTGATTGAAGTTTTAAAAATACCAATTCCCTAAAATTATAATTATTTTAACGGTTTTAGTATATAGGATTTTGGACAATAGTGATCCTGGCCGATCAAAATTATTCGACCGGCTAAGCCGATAAAATTTTATCGGCTAAGCCAGCTTAGTCGATTTTTTATTAAAATTTCGGAATCCTTTGGAAGATTAAGTTCGTTCATTTTCTACATTGAAATTTTTAGGAATGTCATAATAAAATCGATCAGCCGATTTTTAAAAAAATTGACCGGCTAAGCCGATTTTTCGGCTAAGCCGAATTTTTCACTATCGGCCAGGATCACTACTGGACAATCCTATTTGTCCAGGTTTTTTCATAGTCTAATTTTATATTTTCGGGTTATTTTATAAAATTGTAAATATTTTTTTATAATTCACGACAAATTTGCCTGAATAAATTTTTTTTAAAAAAAAAATAATACAAATCTTTAATAAATCTACAAGAATAATTTTTATTTATACACAAATCATAATTTTAAAGAAAGCTTTTTTTTTTTTTTTTTGTTGCGGTTTCGTAAAAGATCTGGTAAGCAAATTTCAGCTTTGTTCAACAATGCTTCACAACATACGAAACCTAATCTATGACAGTGTACGTCACATAAATTCTAATATTGTATGATTCTTCGTATTATGCACTCTTAAAAAATATAATTCATAAACTGCATATGATAGTAAAATTTCCAATTTCGGGGAAGAAATGACTGCATCAAAATTATATAATGAATAAGAGATATATAAATATTTAAATCAAAAAAAAAGACAACAAATATTAAAGATTATGTATATAAATTAAAAATACATACCTTTTAATTCGTTTATCTCAAATTATCATCATTCTCAATCCATTCACCAGTTTTAGTAATACTTTCAAAAACCATTAATGCTCTTCTCATACCTTCCGAACTAACTTTTGTACGTTTTGCTAATGCAAGTCTTTTTAATGAACCAATTCTTTTTGCATATTGAGTAATTAAACATAAATATTCATCATCAATACAATTACTTCTAGGAAATTGTAAAATTTCTAAAGGTACTTTACAATTTCCTAATAACCAATGTAATACCATTAACCAAAAAGTTCCTTCAATTACTATCATTAAATTTCTTAATTTTTTAGGTAATTTAAATGATAAATCTTTCCAAAATATTTCATCATCCATTAATTCAGTTCCGATTGAAATAAAAATTTGTTCTAAATTTAAACAATTATCAAGAATTAATTTTAAATAAGGTAAAGTTTCTTTACTTATATGAGTTTCAATTATAACTAATTTAGGACAATAAATTGAAATTGTTGATAAAATCATTGGTGGAGGAAAATCACCTACACCTCTTGCAACTATACCTAATGGTCTTCTAACATTCCAAACTTTTTTTCCTAATCTAATATCTTTTAAACTTCCATTAGTATTTTGAATCATAATTGCAATAGGATGATTAAAAATTTTTTTTGATTGTAAAGATGAAATTGTTGTTATAGGTGATGATGATGATGATGGTATTATAGGAAAAGGTATATTAGGTATAGGAATATTTTGACCAGCAGGAGCAAGAATTGTACGTAAATCTCTAAAACCAATACTTTTTCTAAATAAAAATTTTTTTAATTTAAAAAATTTTGAATTTGATAAAGGTTCTACAATATCATCAGATAAACCTAAACATCTATCAAATATTAAAATTTCTAAATTAATACAATATGATATAGAATTAAGTGAAACAGAAATTCTAAAATCTGCACCATTAAATTCTAAATAAGTTAAAGAATTTGATTGACTTCTTAATCCTTCTATTAAAATAGGTAAACAATTTGATCCACCACGTCTAAGTACCATACGTTTTAATGAATTTTGAGCTTGTAAAAGACTTAACATCATCATTGGATCAGCATGTTTTCTTTGCCATGAAGAAAAACTTATTTCAAGAGTATCAAGGTTTTTGCAGATCATTGATAGAACTTTCATAATTTTTCCATCGGTAGCATCACCACCATATTCAAATTTTTGTAAAAAAGGTAAACATAAATTTGCACCAAAATAAGAAGGTAATTTAAGAAGGTCATCAAATCCATAAGCACCACGAAAATCTTCAAAACTAGTAGGAGTATATTGTATATCACCAGGATGATGAGACCAAAATCGACGATCAATTAATCCAACGAGACGTTGAGTATTGAGTGAAAGTGATTCGATAACTTTAGTTTTACTAAAAAATAGTTTACAAAGTTCATTTACCAATATTTTAATAACACGAAGATCATCAAAAACTTCAGATTCTCTTTTAATTTGTTTTCCTTTATCATAACCATCTTGTAACCAAGAAGAAGTTGATTCATATAAATCGTCAAAACGGAATTCACGTAAGAAACTTGGATAATCAAATACTTTTGGAGTAGTTGAGATTGGTATATTGATTCCTTCAACCTTAAGTTCACATTTAACTCGTTTATCAAATAATGAAGTATATATTTCTATTAGTTCCGGACAAGGTTTTTTAGCAAGTTTAAAAGGACGTCTCCATAAGAAAGGAGCAGCACTTGAACACCAGAATCGGTTAACCAGAAGACAAGAGTGTAAAGAAGTTTTATCATTTTGAAGTAAATGAAATACTTCTTCAAGACATTCTCTAGGTAAGGATTGTACCATGTTATAAATCAATATTTATTTTTTATATTTCTGTATTTGCAAATAATTTGGTTTTCTAAATTTTTTTTTGCCGTCGCAATTATAATACATTTGAGCAATTTAATTGGTTATGATATATATCGTGAGACTTTCACGTGTACATGGGATTTAAAATCGTTTAACGTTAAAAGTAAGTACCCCACCCTTACCCTTGGTGTTCACATGGAAAATTATTATGCAAGCCTCTCCAAGTCAGGTTAGTTTTGGCCAATTTCGCAGGAACACGAAGATGTTACAGGAAGTTACAGGAAGTTACATGAATTAGTATTTGAAGAAATTTTTTTATATAGAGAAGAAAATAGTAAATTCGATTATCTGGATTAATCTTTAAATTCAGATATCTAAATCAGAGATTTTTACTTGAATTGGTCAAAGAACCTAAATAACGGATCTAAGGATGTGCCCAAAGAACCTAAATAACGGGATCTAAGGATGCGCCCAAAGCTAACTTTATGTATAATCTGATACGCCTGTCAGAAATAGGATCGAAACACAAAGAAAAAACATAATAAAGTGATCATTTATATCTATAGTTAAATCTAATATGTTTCAAGAACCAATCTAATCTTAAACATTATTCAGACTTTTATTACTAACGAATTTGTTTCATCTAAAAATCCAACCTAAGAACTCTCAATCTTTACATCTATTTCTGTTAGAAACCATTTTTATCTTGATAGCTTTAAAATCTAGATAAGTTTTTTTTCTTTATCTAATTTATAAAAAGTCATTATTAAGCCAACTCTTCTTAAATTAGAGATTGGGGTCTTTGCCTTGAAAATCAAATTTGGATCATATGATTTACTATGTCCCGTAAGGTCATTTTCAAGGCAAAGACCCCGATTGATTTTAAAGTTGGCGCGTTCTTAAAAAGTACTCTAAAAAACATATAAATAAGTTACCCGGGCAATTGATTTGCATTACCGGGTCAAAATCGAAAAATTACGGTCCTGAAATGTTAAGAGCATGGTAAAATACGGGCCGAACTTTTTTAAAAAACATAGTAAACTCTAATTTACGGGCCGTGCGAGCCGGCAAAAAAAAAATTATTTTATAAGGCCCACATTAGCAAATCAAACGGATTTCTTAAATAACTTTTTTAGCACGAATACTTTACGTAATAATATGCAATTGCAGACAGAAAATTTTTTTATAAAAAATGCTATGTATAATAATTAACACGTATAATGTAGATAATGAATTGAGTGAATTTTTATAATTACAAATTTGGTATTTTATTTACTTTTATTTATTTATTTTTTTTTGATTAAAAATGCTGTACGTATTATATATAACATACAGTAAATATCAAATAAAATTGTATTTCGTAATATAATCTAACCAATAATAATCAAAGAACCAACATTTTTTTTTTTTGCCTAAAAAAAATCACAATTAAAGAATTATAGTAGAATTACTGAAACTACAGTAAGTATTTGTGAAAAAAAAAAGAAATTAATTTACAATAATTAAAAATGTAAAGTATACTATATACTATATATATATACTATATATATATAATATATATTTTGTCTAAAAATCGAAAATAAATACATAATAAAAAATGATTTACAAAAAAACCAAAAAAAAAACAAAGCAAAATAAGCAAGAAATATATAAAAAAAAAAAAAATTACCTAAACATTAACGTTTAGAAGAAACCAGCTTGTTTATTTGCTCTGAATAATTGATTTGATTGTTTAGTAACACCTTGTTTACCATTCCAATCACGAAATGGAGGATTAGGACTAACACTTCTTGCTCTACTAGAAGGATAAAATTCGACAGGATTTACACGTAATTGTTGATGTGAAGTTTTGAGAGATAAATTATTACCATTATTAGAAGGAGGATATAATCTTGAAGGTAATTGATTACTTCTTTGAGGTTGATAAGGAGGATACATATTATTGTTATTAATCCTATCATTATCATGATTATTTAATGGAACTCTATTATTATTATTATAAAATCGTGAATCATAATTATTTGGAGGTCTATCATTATAAAATCTTGAATCATAATTATTTGGAATCCTATCATTATATATTCTTTGATCATAATTATTTTGAACTCTATCATTATATATTCCTGGAATTGGAACAGGTGGAGGGCCAAAACTTTTTTTATCATCAAAATTATTTAATCTATCTGAAGGATTATTAACAATACGACTTCTATTTGATAATGATTGATCTTGTATTGATAAATTATCAGCATTATACATTCTTGGTTGTCTACCCCTGTTACTATTATTTGAGGTAAAAGGGCTTGAATCATATGGTAAAGAATTTTTGTAACCTTCTGTAAAGTTTCTATTAGAAGGAAGGTTATTTATCTGAGGAGGAATAGAATTTTTTGGAAATTCTTTCTGTGGAGAAGTTGGTTTAGGATCATATAACCAATCAGGAAGATCACCATTCTTTTGTTGATGATATTCGCGTAATATACGAGAAATATGAGTTTCACCTTCCCAATCGTCTTTTTCAGATTCTAGTTTATGTGAAGGATGTATTAAAATATATAACATAAAATATTTAACATAAAATATATAATATAAAATATATAATACGTATAAAATGGAGAAATTAATTAGATAAACTCTTTAAAATTACATACCATTATCGGAATTTCCATCAATAGAGCCATTATAAGCCGATGATGCAGCGCTTAATAATTTATCCCACAATTTGGTACCAGAGGTAGATCGAGATGGTGAGACAGAATCATCTAAAAAAAAAAAGAATATCGTTCAGTATGAAAATAATAAAACGCATCAATGATAATTACAGTAGACTATGTGTGTAACGAAAATTTGGGTTGGTTTAAAAAATTCCTTTATATGGTATATTTCATTATACCTATATAAATAGATTTTTTGGATAGCTATTTTAATAATTAGCATTAGTAAATCGCATTCGGATTTATGATTATATAAAATTTGAGTACGTAGTAATTAGTGGTATGTTTAGATTAGATGCATATATGTAATTTAATAAAAAATTAGTAAATAGGTTAGGTAATTTTCCATTACATATATACATATGACTATTTTATATTAATAATAAATCCGCTACGTATAATCATCTTAAAAATATATGGGTACAGTAATTCTTGATTTTCGGATATTCCACTTAACAGTATACAAATTTACCGGTCCCTTAATAAGGTAATAATAATAATAACGATAGTGAAGTGTTAAATCCGAAATTTTAAGAACTGCCGGTTTTCGTTTGGCAAATACCCATAAATATATATATATTTTTTTGATCCGGTATAAAAAATTTTCGTTATACGTATTCATAGTCAATTATTATAAAAAAAAAAGAAATTTTTACCCTCAACCATTTCTTTCCAGTTATTTACAGTCTTAAGTTTGCTCCACAAACTATTAGTAGACTGTTCTTTATTTGAAGCAAAAGTATTATTTGTATTATTAGTATTAATATTAAGATTATTTTGCCTACTGGAATTAGGTGAAAGATATTGCTTCGAAATATTTGCTTCAGGTATTTTACATTTATGCCGTGCAGGATAGAGACCAACATCATGACCGCAGTCCTTACAAAGGACTACAAGTCGAGAAACTCGGTAATCTACAACTTCAGCAGTCATTTTAACTTTTTGTATGTGTATATATATATAATATTTAAGGAAAGTTTTGTAAAGTGTTTAGGAACTTTGATTAATTGGAATGAAATATTTTTAATGAGAAAAAGAGAGGACTAAATATTGATTTTGTATGAAACATATGATATAGTCTTTGTTAAGAAAGATGAAACATCGAGGAATTATATATAAATAAAACAATTACCCTTTAGATCTTTATTAATTAACATGTAACATCAAAAGTTACAATTCTAATAATTTATAATTCAAATTGAGTAATGATTGGCCGAATTAATATAGAGTTGTGATTGGATATATATACAAACAAAATAATTATTGTACGAAATAAACAAGTCTTATTCGATATTGTTTTTATTTATATAAGATATTATATAGTTTAATGGATATACCGCACGTACTTTGATGTGCGCCGAAATTAAGAAAGGTAACGATTCTCTGTTCTACAAAAATACGATATAACTAGGGTCACAGTTTTTATAATTGATTTAAAAAATAATGTTGATCTTACATTTGCATATTTTTTTTTTTTTTTACGGAAAAGATTCAGTTTTTATCATTTAAGGCAGGTAAACTCCTTTGTTTCGCTTAGAATGTTACATAAAAACTCGGCGCAGGTAAGTATACGTACGTGCATACAAATTTTATTTAAATTAATATTATAGGTTGGATTGTTATGATTATCGATACTAACTTTAAATAAATGCACTTTGTTATTATGTTAATAAAAAAAAAAAAAGTCAAAACCTTATTTGGTAATACTGTAATAGAGATAATCACTAATCTAATATGTTCGTGTAACTTCTCAATGAAAAGTTACTATGTAAATTCCCGATTGTTGACAGCGAAGAGTTACCGGTAACATGTGGCTATGTTTTTTTTTTTGTTATGAAAAGAACAATACGTGAAAAGCCACATGTGAATATATATCTGTATATTGTACGTATTATAACTTATATCGATTAATTAATTATAACGATAAGATTTTCACATATACGTATTGATATAGTATTCGATTTGCAATATCACATAGGAATAACGAGAATATCCTGTATTCGGCAATAACATTCAGATGATAATTTCTAAAATAGAGAATTAGATTTACATATTCATATTTTTTTTTTTTTTTCAATAATACGTAACAGGGTCTAAAAATCTCAACTGTCAAATTTAGTAATCTGTAAATTTGTTTTCGACTTAACGTGATATTACGTAAGTGAAACACGTGTACAATAACAATTAACTGTTAAAATTAATTTCCGACCAGAACACTGATCGTTTAAATTTGATTTAATTAATTCAGTGTAACTTTTTAAAGTTCTACGTAGCGTTACCTGAAAAATTTTTCGCTAAAAAACTTTCGCTGTTAAGTTAGGATTTAGAGTTTTAATTATTTTAAAATTTTTTAAATTAATGCGCAAAATCTTAAAAGTGTGAATTTTAATTTTTTTGCGTTTTTATCTTCGCGTTACACCTGATCATTAAATTTGATTGGACAACGAAATTTTTAGAGTAGGACCTCGAAAATAAAACTGGTTCGATTTAAAGTTAAGTGTTGTTTAGAAATAGGTTCCAGGGAAATAGCCTGGAAAATCATATAAAACCCAATTTTTTTTAGGGTAAAGTTGATACAGCAAACCTTAATTCTAATTTAATATTATGAGTGAATATTGGTATATATTAAATTTTTAAGATATGTATTAAGAATAGATTATTGGTCAACCGGATTTGCATTAATAAAATTTTACTCAAAAAAAAAAAGAAGTTATCATTTCACTAAATATAATATTAACTTGGGAATTTGACATATATTAGAATGACTTTATAAATATCAAACTATCGGTCATGTGCAATTAGGAGGATCAAAAACCTTTCTAAAGAACAATGTAGCTATCTTTAAATTAATTGCTATTTGAAATTTATTAGTGAATCACTAAAAATAATATCACAATTTCATCAACATAATTAATCATGAATAGCTCCAAATCCTTTCCCCATTTTCTTTGCTCGAGCATTCTTTCTATCATGATTAGCATTTCTTCCTCGATTTTTTCCTCTGCCTCGACCGCGTGCTGTAGGTGGGGCTGTACCTGTAGCTGTATTATTTTTTTGCGATGATTCACCATTAAAGTTATTACTATAATTGCCTTTTCCTTTTCCAGGTTGTGGTGATGAATCTCTTGAAGAACTGGTTTCCTTTTCTGATGTTGAGGATGATGCTTCTTCTTGGTTGTTCCTAAAATCATATTTTTCCAAAAGTTTATCTTTCCTTGGCTAAAATATTCATAAATCTTTGTTAACTGCGAATTTAAATGTTATTTTTGAACAAAAAAAAAAAAATATATATATAAATTAAATTTTTATATTTACATTTCTTTGGAACATAATGTACCATCCTTCGAGTTGTTCGTCGGTCATGTGTGTAATATTTCTAAGTCTAGCACGTTTATCTGATTTCCTTACTGCATTAGTTCGATCAAAGACGGTGGGATCTGATTGGATTGTTTTAATAAGTTCACTCTCATGTGTAATACTAGGATCGACCTATGATAATCATAAAATTTCATAATTAAAAAAAAAAATTAAACTTATATTAATTTTAAAAAATTTTATAACATAAAAAAATTGATCTGATTTTTTGTTAATTCTTTCAATTTTGCTCATATGAAATAAATACCTTTCCATGCACCGAATTATTAATTTCTGTCTCTTCATCAATCTCATCAATCATATGAAGGTCAATTCCTCCCATTTTCAGACCGCTAGTATCATAAGTATCGTCGTATTCATCCTCGTACATCATATCATTAGCAATATTTATAATCGAATCTTTGTGACTTTTCACAAATGACTTATCCTCCAATAAATTGTCTGCTGTGCCGCGACTTTTTTAAATGGATTAATTAGAGATATAATCAAATTTTTTCAAGATGAAATAAAAGTACTTATGAACCTTACTTTTTCTTTCCTTTATTAACACGTTTAAAGTCAATACTTTTACCAGAAAATATGTCAAACTCATCATTATCAAAAATATTTTGACGTTGAGATAAAAGACTTTCTTCTATTACACGTTAAAAAAAAAAAAAAAAAATTTATAATTTCACATTACAAAAACAATTTAATTCTAACAAATTGTACAAAATCGAACCTTTTTTGGGACTATCATTGGTCATTGTCACAACACGACTGAAAAAAAATAAAATAAAATAAAATCGTAAATATATTTATTTATATATATGTATGTTGACATATATTCAGTAAGGTATTTAACATACCGAGTCATTGAACGATCCAATTCATTTAAGTGATCTGGTAGAGAATTCTGTAATAATCGATCAATAACTACTTCTACATTATTATCAAAAGCTATCAAGCATTCTTCTATGAATCCTTCACCAAGATCAGGTAAAACTTCTTGAACCTGAGAGATAAGGGATATGCGTTGCATATCACTGTCCTCGATTGTATTTAACTAAAAAAATTAAATGTATGTAAATTGTATGTAAGGCGCTGTTTTGTATGAAACCAGTTATATCGAAATTATTTTAACCTTGTGAGATATTGAAGAATTATTATTATTATTAATTTTATTGGTAAACAAATGTCTTCTCTGTTTCTCTTCTAATCGAATTTGCCAAGGTAATTTGCCACTTTCTTGATTCATATTACGCAATAATTCCAAATGTCCAACTACATAATCTATCCTAGCGTCATCAGTGTGAAAAATTAAGGAAAATTATTAAATATAAATTGGTATTAAAAACGATTAAAGTAAATAAATAAATAAATTCTAAAAAAAGGATATCCATTAAGAGCTTCATTTTTTATTCTTGTTAATTTTCCACTCAAATCAAATTCAATTTCAATATCTAAAAGTAATGGTGCATCTACGAATGATTCAACAGGCTTATCCAACTGAGAAAATTCAATGAACCATAAAAGCACATCACCCATCTTTTCAACCTTATCATCTATGTCTTCCAATTTGTCATCTGATTTGATAAATGAATATACTTCATCTTTGTTGGCTGTGAATCCTATCGGACTAAAATAACATGCATCTAATGTGTTGTACGCAAGTGATACTAATGCATGTTTTAAAATAATTAAATCTCTAGAAATATTTAAAGTTCCTTGAGTTGATTTAAATATTTTCGAAATTATTGGTATAGTAATATCATATAAATTCTCTATTGTTGTTAAGAAAATATTTTTATCTTCAAAATCTTGTCTATTATTAAATATATTGGCTACGGGTTTTGAAACTATAAATAAACAATCCAAAGTAACTGAAATATCTAATATATATTCTAAATAAGTAAAAGCATTTGTTATAACACTTTTACTTGTCATTTCATTATCTACCATTTCTTGAAATTGTTCGTTTATAACTTTTATATAATTAATAATAATAATTGAATGATTTTCAAAATCTTGAAGTAATTTTATAATTGATTTAATAATATTATCTAAAAATTTTTCTATTTGTTTAATATTTGATCTACCATAAGTTGCTACTACATCAAGTAAAAATGGTACTGATATAATATTATTTTGATATAATTCTTCTCCTAATGTAATTCCTTCTTTAATTAATAAAATTGATGATTCTGAAATTCTTAATAATATAGCTAAAACTTTTTTATTTAAATTAATTTCCATTTGATTATTAATTTGATTAATTTCATATTTACGAACTTTTGCTTGAATTCTTAAAAATGTTTCTAAAAAATTTTGAAATGATTTATTATTAATTAAATATTCGATAAAATCTTTATCTTTTAATTTTAAAATTAATGAAAGATTTGATATCCAAATATTAAGTGCATTAATCCATTGAGAATCTGTTATATTTTTTGAACAATATTTATCTACATAAGGAGGTATCAATAAATCTTTAACTTTTTGTGCCGACATTATCGAAAAAAAAAAATTTTTTTTTTTTTGATAGATGG